CATTGATGACTGCATCTTTCCTTGCAGTGAGTGTTTTGGACAGAGTCCAGAAGTTTAGTGGAGAAAATGAAGGGATCCAGAGGGTTAGTGGAGGCAATAAAGGGACTGGAGAGATCTGGAAGCTGACAAACAAGTGACAAAGGTTGGCTCCTGCTGAGCGAGAAGGGAGGGAGAGGTGGATCCAAATGAGGCTCTGGCTTTGAAATGGGTTCCAGCTTGGAGGGAAACTGACGGGCTTCCTAGTCTTCTTTCTCCTCACCCCTTTGGCCTACCACCCCAACTTTCCGGTTTCAGGCTTTTTCAGATCTTCATGTCTTCCTCCCATTTTTTTTTTTTTCCACAAGGTCTTTGTCCTGGTGTGTGTCAAATCTCACTCTTCTTTTCCTTATAAGGACACCAATCATTGGATTTAGGGCCCACCCTAAATCTAGGATGAACTCATCTAGACATAACTTAATTACACCTGTAAAGACTCAATTTCTAAAAAAGTCATGTCCACAATCACAAGTACTAATGGCTAAGACTTGGACATATCTTTTTGAGGGACACAGTTCAACCCACCACAACCTCTGTAATTGTTTCTGTTATAACCAAAATATTAATACATTTCCCCCCCATAAAAGAGCTCTGGTTAATATTTCCCCTAAGTCTGTGGTCTCCTCTCTCAATTTCAGAAGTTCAGGGCTCAAAAGTACTGTAAAGATAATTCAGTTCAACATGTTAAAATAAGATTTGGGGTGAGTGGGGCGGAAGTAGGGGTGGCTGATCTTGCCCAGTTCCTTCAGCAGTTTGCATGGCAAGGGAAGGAAGGAAGACCCCAGGTCTTTACATCTTCTGACACTTTATCCCCAAGGAAGCCAGGAGACAGAATTGGGTCCCTGGTGATCTAGAATGGATATCCAGGCTCCAGCTGTGGTCCAAAACCTGCTGCACTGCTCTGGATGACCTTCTACCTTAGATGCCTTATTTTCTCACATATAAAATTGAGATGATGACAATATCTACCTCCTAAGGTTGTGGCAACGCTTAAATGTGATATTGTGTTTAAAATTTTAGCATGGCCCTAACTATTAAGCGCTGCATAAAATGTTAGTTACCATGATAATATTATTGATGGAAGAGATGAAAGAGAATGGAAAGAAATGAAATGGAGAGGAGGGGTCGTGTTTGAGGAGAGCCATAGATGCAACAAGACTTATTGACAATGTAGATGTGGGAGATGAGGGGAAATGAGTGACCAAAAGTACTTCCAAAGATTTTAGTCTGGAAGGCTATGTGGATGGTGAGGCTGTGAACAGAACAGAGACAATAGGAAAAGGCAGATTAGGGAGGTGCAGGATAGGGGATCTCCATGGCTTGGCTTTTAACAAGTTGGGTTTGAGGGGACTGTGTCCAGGACTTTGACCTGCATATTTGTGCTCCTAAGAGATATCAGGTCTAGAAATAATAATCACGGAATCATCCAGAGAGAGGTACTAGGGAAGCTGACCCATGACTGCAAATGCCAAGTGGAGAATAAGGGAGTGAAGAGGACAGAAGATGGGATTCCAAGGGAATATTTGGATAGTATGAAGAGAAAGAGGGAGGAGTGAGGAATGGTTTGAAAGGTGGAAAGAAAATCAAGTGCCATAAAAAGCTAAGAATAAAAAGACCCTATAAGACAGAGGACAAAGAGTTGTCAGGGACTAGGGGAGGGGCAAGTGTCAGATTACAACAGGGTAACACAGGGGGATTCTTTGGGGTGCTGGAGTTGTTTTGCATCCTGATAGCGGTGGTGATAACAAGAATCTTTGCATGTGTTTAAACTCATAGGACTGTAAGACAAAAATAAAAGAGTGCATATTACTGTATATAAATTAAGAAATAAAAAGGAGAGCCTGTAGAAAAGTTGATAAAAGGCCAATGGATTTGGTCAGAGGTCAGACATTCCAAAGAACAACTGTCCTTTCTCCCATCTTTGGGCTTTCCCATCCATTTCCCTTCCTCACTCTTTCTCCCATACCCATGCAGAACTCTAAAAAGTATTAGATCTGTTTCTCTTCAGAACTTAAAACAAATCTCCTAAGCCAACTCAAATCAAGATAATTCATAAAATCACCACTTTGAAAGTTTGAAGGACAAGGGGAAAAGGAATTAGGCTTTCTCATTTAATCCTCCCAAGGATCATTATTATTTCCACCTTACATTTTGAGAGACTGTGTAGAAGAGTTAGGAGCATGGACTCTGAAGCCAGACTCTCTGGGATTCATACTCTGGTTCTCAGGAGCTATATAAACTTAGCCAAGCTGCTTAACCTCTTTGTGCCTCAGTTTCCTCATCAGTAAAATGGGGATAAGGAAAGTACCTACGTCATAGGGCTTATGTGAGGATTTAGTGTTAACAAATATAAAGTACTTAAGACAGTGCTTAGCCCATAAACATACCATGTAATTTTCTTTTTTTAAATTACAGATAAGAAACCAAAGCTTAGGGATTTTAAGTAATTTTCCCAAGGCATATTGGTGTATATATTGGGGAGGCCAGTTTTCAAAATATGAAATTCATAATTCTTTCTGGATGTCTTCAAAGGGTGTTAACAGAGGGGGAGAGTGACAGAGAAACAACTCTGTGTTTCAGTGTGAATGAGGAGATGGGAAGAAATACGGAAATGAATGTTTTGGAAAAGAAACCAAGGTAGAAATGAGAAATGAAAGGCTGTGTTTAAAGCTTTTGTGAGCTCACCTGGAATTCCCATGTGGAAAATAAGCAAAAAGAGAAAAGAGGTGGGCTGTATGAAAGATCAAAAGGAGACAGAAAGAAGTGAGTTTTTTTCCTCGCTGTGTCCAATTTTAGTCTGATTTTTTACTTGACAATTCTCTGGGATGACATCAGATATTAAACTTGGCAGAATATTTCAGCTGAACAAAAACACCTGGTGATAGGATTTGTTTATATCATAATTTATTTACAGGACACGATGAATAATCAGATGACCTGCAGTTACTAATCGAAGTTGTAACATACACTTCATGATAAACACTGCATTACAACCTCGCTAACAATGATAATTTATGATTGTATATATGTGCATGTGTTGTATGCATGTGTGTGCTGGTTACCTATTGCCAGTTTAGCAGCACCACCACTTCCTGATAAAGCTGAGAACTATTTTCCTCAAATCCCTGTATGTTCTGGGTTGCATTGTTCTGTAAGAAAAACTCGTAAGAAACTTGGGAGGTGGAAATGAAGTGGAAGTCACTACTGGAAGATCGTGGCAGTCAGGCAGGACTTTGTAATATCTCCACAAGTTCTCACTCATAGGTTGTGACCGATGCTGCAACTTTGCACACTCTTTGTAAGTTACCACTATACCATTATGGTGACAAGACACGGCAACTCTTCAGACTTCCCCACGTCAATTAGCACCTTCTCTCCCCCTTCCAATGGTTTAGGCTGACATCCTCTGGCTGCAGTCTTACAGATTTTTCTCTTTCCCTGCTCCTTCCATACTCATATAATCCCAATTCCTAGTTAAATACCTTACTCTTGCTGTGTTTGTAGTGACTTTATTCTCCTGACAGAATCCAGACTGATACTAAAACTATGTGTATATATGCTAGATCATCCAAGACAGCCCCAATTTCCTGAATAAATTTCATAATTCCCTGAAGAATATCAGGTATTCCAACAGTATTAATATGCCTAAAATCCAAAAAACTGACAATACGGAATGCTGGTGAGGATGTGAAGCAATATGAACTCTCATTCATTGCTGGTGGGAATGCAAAATGGTACAGCCACATTGGCAGATAGCTCGGCAGATTCTTACAAAATTAAACATAATCTTACCATACAGTCCAGTAACCACACTCCTAGGTATTTACCCAATTGAGTTGACAATTTATGTTCACACAAAAATTTGTACACAGACGCTTATAGCAGTTTTATTTATAATCACCAACAACTGGAAGCAACCGAGTTATCTTTCAAAAAGAGAATGAATAAGCAAACTGTGGTATATCCATTCAATGGAATATTATTCAGCAATAAAAAGAAATGAGTTTTCAATCCATGAAAAGACACAGAGGAACTTTAATTGCACATTGCTGAGTGAAAGAAATCAACCTGAAAAGGCTACTTAGTATATGATTCCACGTCTATGACATTCTGGAAAAGGCAAAAGTATAAGGGCAGTAAAAAGATCAGTGGTCACCAGGGGTTCAGGGGAGAGAGGAGGGATGAGTGGGCAAAGCACAGGGGAATTTTAGGGTGGTGAAATGATTCTGGATAATATTGTAATGATGGACACATGACATTATGCACTTGTCAAAACCCAAAGAATTTACAGCATGAAGAGTGAATCTTAATGTATGCAAATTTAAAAAATCATTTAGGAGGTCAAGGGATCAAAGGAAAGAATGCTGGCTGTGACAAGAAAATCTTAACAGTACTAAAAAATATATGAAATAACCTCACGGAAGGAGGTGAGGGAAAGGAGGTTGATCTAAGTAACTTTGGGAACAAGTCTGTAGGATGAACGGCAAAAGAAACTGCTCATAAACACAGTACTCTAGGTGATAAAGTTATTTCCTATCCCGGTACAAATGAACAATTATGATTTTATTTGAGATCATTTCTAACCGAGGATTTAGTTCCTCAGTGAAGATTAATCGTATCCTTAAGTTTTGCAAGTCATGACCCACACATTTTCTAAACATGTACTTTCCATGTGTCAGACATTGGGAATAATGAGATGAATTATTGAATAATGAAGAAATCATCTCATTCAGATCCTGCCTTCAAGCAATGGAACTTACGGGAAGATATGGAAGATGAGAAAAAATCAATGGTTACACTATTTTTAGTATCATAAAACTTATTATTACTTAATCTTATCATTCTTCACATTGCTTGACTTTAAAATAGAGACAACAGTCCACCTCATAGAGCTGTTAGGACTAGTTTCTTCATGTGCTTAGAAAAATGCTTGGCACCTAGGAAGTGACCAAGAATTATTATCATTTTTGAGGAAACTGACCATTTGGAATTTAGAAAACTGTCATCATTGCCTATGGAATAACAATGCCATAGGTAATTCTCTTAAAGCTAGTAAACAGACTGAATTCCCACTGTCCTCAATCCTCATCACTCACCATTTCTACATCTTGCTGATTTATACATACTTTTTCATACCATGCTCCATGATTTCGCTTAATATCAAGGAGGATGGATTCCAGAGTAGAGGCAAACTCAATCACACTGGAAAACTTGCTTTGATATGCATAAGCAAAGCCAGCAGTATGCATGGCCACCAGCGAACCTTTTGAATCAAACACTGGGGAGCCAGAAGCCCCAAAGAAAAAAGTGGTGTTATAGGTAATCACATCAGGGTTGTGAAGTACTTCCTGGAAACTTCTTTGAGTGAACATATGGATATACTGCATAATATAATCGCAACCCTCTGCTTCTCTAGCCTGAAAATGTTCTCGACATTTTTCTTCTCGCTGACCCTGAGAGATCACAGCACAGGCATCAGTAGACTTTGCATCTCCATTTGGATGGCCAATAATATATACCAACCCACTAAGTGGTACAGGAGCAATTCCATTGTATAGTCCCAAAGGTACCTGTTGTCCATTTTCCTTCAGTTTCAGAATAGCATAATCAAGAGTTACATCAGATATCTTAAACCAGGGTTCAACGAAAAAGCAAATACCTTCTTTTTCTTGCAGGTCTTCATAAGCAAATGTCACTCTCACACATTGACCAATTATGTCTGCCCACTTACTTTCATCTATCCCCTTTCCCACAATGTCATTTATTACATGCCGACAAGTGAAAATGAACAACCCTTGAAAAACAAAGCACGTGGCAGAACCTGCATTTCCATTGTTGTCCCAGGATACGTACCCAACTGAGTCACTGAGCCGAGAAAGAAATTTGTGTACTTTAACCAGAGTGGAGTTTTTTGTCAGTTTTCCAAAGTTTGTTTCATGCCATTTAAATAATGAAGTTTTCTTTTTGTTCTTTCTTTTTTTTATTTCTTTCTCAAAGTTTTCTCTGATTTTTTCACTTTCTCTTCTCAAACTGGGGTACTGGTCCACAATTTCTTCATTCAACAGACGAGTGTTTCTTTTCTCTGACTCAGGCCTCTGAGCAGCTGCTGCCCTGGAGCCCATTCCCTTCTCAACCTCGACCTGAAAGAGCTGGCCCTCTAGATCATCAACAGGCTGTGTGTTTTCTAAAACAGAGTCCAGGTTTTTAATGAGTTTCCAATCATCATTCTCCAGAAAGGAAAGAAATCTGCCATCCTTGCATAGAGCATCCTTAATGGTTTCTCCTTTGAAAGCATAGACACAGAGTTTGTACCCTTCTTTGTGAAGTTCCCTGCGTTTGACAATTGTTTTTTTCCTCTTCCCAATTGCATGAATATAAAATTTGACACAGTCAGCAGATGCCTCGTCATGGCGTCCAAATACCTGGTTCCCTTCTTCCTCCTTACTTTTACTTTGGGCAAATGTAATTACCACGTGACAGTTTTCAGGAAAACAACTGAGAGGCATTCCAAGGTTTATATATCCTTCAATTCCTTCTATGCCATGCACCAGCACTTCTTTGCCTTGATGAGTTTCTATCTCTTCTTTGACAGCCTTAAGAGTGTTGAGTGCCGAGTATAAGCTATCCTTCTCATTATGTATGAGCACGAGTTTCCTTTTTTGGTTTTTCTTGTGATTTACACCCAAGGTAACTTTAATTGTCTTATTTAGGGGTGTAGTCTGGTCTTTGGGTTCTTGAGCCTGGGTGTTAGTTATATCTTTTGGACCTTTTCTAGAGCCTGTCTTTGTTTGAGACATACTGGAATTATTCTGTTCTTTTTTATTTACCTAAAAACAAATGTTAAATACTTTAAAATTCTGAATGCAACTCTAGTCTTTTGTATCTCTTTTTAGTACATAATTCACAAAATTTCTATAGGAAACTCAGAACCAATCTCGAAAGGCCAGTGAATACAATTAAATCCGAATTTGAGTTGGGATTCAAAATACAAGCTGAGTTTCCTGTCTCATCAGTCGGATAAACTCTTACTACTGCCACACTGGTGCATTTTTCTGGGAAATATGAGGAAAGAAATAACTTTTTTCCAGGTGCATCAAATACAGAGATGTTTAAAAGTCTGCCAGCTCTCTTACAGTGTTATTTCAGGTATTGCTTACTATTCTCAACTATACAGTTTTTATTTTTTCCGAGTATAGTGATGGATCACACCAAAATTTGGTTCTTAAATTTCCAAACCCAGCAAGAATAAATTATGATCGTTTTTTACCAAGCATTAAATGTTAAACAAAACCATCATTAGTTAACTAATCATTTAGTCATAATAATATAGTTATTTCTAATAATAAAAACCTTGAATCACCCAGTATCTATTATGCAAAGAACTCAAATTATTTCCTCTATTATATCAACTAATCTCCAAATCCTATGAAGTGAGGAGGAACAAATATGGTATCTCTGCCCTCCTGATGGAGAAATGAGGCACAAAAAGTTTTTCCTGTAAGTGCCTTTCCTAGGGTTACATAATAACCAATGAATGAAATGAATATTGGAACTCCAATACTTAGGCCAGTATTTTTCCATTAGACTATATATTCTTTTTTGTAAATTTTATACCCACGATTCCCATTTTTATAGGGCATTATCTTAAAAACCAGGGGTGGGGGAGGGGAGAGGAATTACATAAGGAGAATTAATCAAGTATCAGAAATTCAATGAAAAATTAAGAGCATCTGACTCCTATGTCTAAAAGATACATTTTCCCCAAGTCATATTCATCAAGGCATGGGTGTCAACAGATATGGGTTCATATGCCAGCGATGCCACTTGCTGATAATGGAATAACAATGCCAGGACTGTTGTAAAGATTAACTGTAACATCATGTATGACAGTGTTAGCACATCATAGGTTAACTTTTATTTTCCTTCTTTGTAATGGTACTAATATTCTGGATCAAAAAAAGGAACATAGATTCAGCCTAACGCTGCCAAAAAACGTCCTTGTCATACACCCTATCAGAATAATGTAATGGATTTCCAACTATTCAAAGGATTCTTGGGTAGATATAGACTTTCAAAAAGGGGTCTGGGGTAGCACATGGTTATTAGCTCACTCTGTCGTGGAACTGAAAAACAGAATGAGGCTTGTCTTGGCTTTTCTAGATACTTGGATGTTCTAGTTAGAACCAGGATAAAAGAAAAGTTAAAGGCTTTAAGTTGCGTCCTCAAGTGCTTGCCATTTCTCAGCCTTCTTCATGATAAATTCAAGGAGCATTTTAGACTCAGAAAAGGATATGATGGTTTGATATGAACCAATGTCAAGGATGGCTAAGTCTAGTATCAGTATATTCTATAAATTGTTACAAACATACCTGAGAAAAATAGTGATCAATTTTCATATTACTCTTTTCATCAAATGCGACCTTCTGTGACCTGCGCTTCTTAGGGCTCATGATGACTTGAAGATGAACAGACAGTTCAGCTGAAACACTAATTTGAAAAAGGCTCAAGTTATAGCAGTATCTTCATAGCTATTCTTAATTGTACAGAGCATAAAATTAACAGGGACCCCACATCCCACCTTTTCCTTCAGGTCCAGTCTCCCTATCCTCAGAGATGGTAACTTAGCAAGTAGACAGTTTATCTACCAACTATAATCACCTCAACAATAAAAATTCTCTTTTATAGAGGACTATACTAAATATTTTACAAAAATGATCTCTAATTGTCCATGCCCACAGATACCATGCAAAGTAGGTATATCTGCATATTGCAGATGAGGAAAGTATAACTCATAGAAGTAGGTGACCTGCCCAAGGCCAGAGCTATGTGGCAGAGATGGAATTCAAATGCAGCTATAAATATCCAACAGAAGAGTTTGCAATTGGAGAATTCAAATGTGTGTTCTAGCTACACTGAGGTTAAAAATCTGGACTCCCTTTAAGATGGAGATGGCACAGGGATGGTACAATTATAGAGAAACAGATGGAAAAGGAACTGGGTGCTACCATGAAGACAAAATAAACTTAGAATGACAGCTTGCCCTCTATCTTTCCTCTGATGCCTCTTCAGAAGAGAATGAACAGTGTAAATAAAATAGTGAAATCTTCAATAGTGATAAATATCAATAGAAGGAAAGCCAGGAAGGGCAGCAGCCGTCTGTCTTCAGTATCTCAACATCTAACACAATGCCTGGCACATGAAAGATACTCTTTCATGTATCTCAACATCTAACACAGCGCCTCAAGAAAGACACATTTGTAAAGATACATTCCATGAATGAATGGAGTATGCATATGATGTACTGTGCCCTGTTCTCAGTGCTGTCCATAAACGACCTCATGTAATTCTTACAACCCTGTGAGATAGGTATTATTAGTTCCATTTTACTGATAAAGAACTTGAATACCAAGAGAGATTAAACTATTTACTCAAGGTCACAGAGCCCTAGAGAGTATACTTTTATTGACTTTCGATTATGTAAGTTTTCAAATAGAGAATAAAAAGAGGGGCCGGCCCCATGTTGCAGCGGTTAATTGCGCGTGCTCCGCTGCTGGCGGCCCGGGTTCGGATCCCAGGCGCGCACAGACGCACTGCTTGTCAGGCTATGCTGTGGCGGCGTCCCATATAAAGTAGAGGAAGATGGGCACAGATGTTAACCCAGGGCCAGTCTTCCTCAGCAAAAAAAAAAAAAAAAAAAAAAGAGAGAGAGAGAGAAGTGGATTGGCATGGATGTTAGCTCAGGCCTGATCTTCCTCACACACACACACACAAAAAGAACAGCATAATGAGCCTCCCTATACCTATCACATAGATAATAATTGCTTATTTTTTGCAAATTTGCATCTTTGTATTTTACTTGATTATTTTACAGTTAGAGACAGTGTAATATTTTAATCCTAATTATCATTTTCCATCTCTAAAAATTTAAGACCTTTTCTTATATAATTATAATACTAATTTATTCAGACCAAGACCCAGTTGAGCTATGTAAGTTGTCTTTAAGTATTATGGCTATTAAGTCTCTTATTCTGGAAAAAGCATTAATTTGTTGAAGGGAACAGAGAAGTTGTTTGTAGAATGTTCACCTTCTGGGTTGCTCCTGATGTTGCTTAATTTATGTTCTCGCCCCTGTATTTCACGTCAAGTAGAAATTATCTAAAGACTATGTTTATTCTCTTAACCATTTTACTATGGAGCAGGAGCCCTGGCTTCATCATTTACTGGTAATAAGCTACTTAGGAACCTCACTTCAGCCTCTCTGAGCCTTTGTTTTCTATTTGTAAAATGAAGCAATGATTCTGAGAGAATGAATATGAAAGTGCTACATCTATGTTTCCTTTTGTAAGACCATCTGGGTTCAAATATCAGGTTACCATTTACTAGCTGCATGACCTTGGCCATATTAATTAGTACTCTCTGCCTTATTCTCCACACCTCCAAGATAGGAGTAGAGGTAGAATCAGCTTCCATTGTTGTGAAGATTAAAAAATACAAAGCGTGTAAAGCCTTGAGAACAGTGCCTGGCACGTAATAAATTTCCCAGTAAATATTGTTGCTGTTAGTATTATCAATATCAATATACTTACCATAGGGATATTTCTTAAACAGCAGAGAACCTGAGGGAACAAAAAGAGATACATATAATTAAGGAGCTGCACTACGTTAAGAGATCCTTGAAGGCAGGAACTTACTTCCCAACAACTAAGAGAATTTGGGGGTTCGGTGTGTCTGTTGATGATGACCTATCTTATGGAATTTGAGAGAGGACCCAGATGCTTTAGGAGTGATTATTACACATGGACCAAAAAAGGAATACGAAGTGGGCAGAAACAAATGTGAATTTGGCACTCCACTGGGACGAACTTGAGCAACCACAGTGGAGAGGGGCAAGAGGTTAAGAAAACACCCCAATATCCTCCCCTCCAACACGGTTTCCAGTATCCAGCCTGAACCATGTTAGAGCAAAATGTGAAGTGTCCTTAACTATCCTACTCCATGCCTTGTTTTAGAGTTGGAGAAGTTGAGGCTCTGCTCACCACAAGGACTTGCCCTATGTTCTACAGTAAAGAGAGAAGGCAATACAGCCTGTCCTTGGTCCATTTCCAGCTCACCCAACTCCAAGGCTCCCCCTTAGAATTCTTCTCTCCCTCATCTCTCTCTCTCTCTGTTCCCTTCTCTCTCCCCCTCTTCTTTCTTTCTCCTCCCGTCTCTTTCTCCCTTCTCCTCTCGGTCTCCCTCTCACCCTCTCTCTCTCTCTCTGCCCCCTTCTCTCTCCCCCTCCACCTCCTCTCAGTCCTACTCCCACTTCCTGTTCTTTCCCCTTCTTCTCTTTCTCCCCCCCTCTCTTCTTGCCTCCCGGCTCCACTTCCTCCTCCGGCTTTCTCTCTCCTTCTCCCGCCTTCTCTCCTCCTCCCTCTCCCCCTTCCCCTCTCCCCTCTCCTTCTCTTTTCTCTCCCTCCCCGCTCCACTTCTGCCTCCTCCGGCCTTCTCTCTCTTTCCTCAGGCGCTCCCAAGCCCGAACTGAGCCAGGCTGTGGAGAGGCAGAGATCCGATCTCCGCTGACCTTAGGCTTAGTCCAAACCCACCACCCCGCGCCCCCAGCACACAGCGTGACAAGAAGCAGCCAGTGAAATAAAACCTGTGCCGTCTTGGCTCCCTAGGTGGGCCGCGCCATCTGGCCCAGGACTCGGGGCCCCAGCCCTTCCCCTCCCAGCCCCGGAGGCACGCGGGCACCTGTCCCGCGCTCGCCTACCGGGCTGCGCACCTCGCCTGCCGCCAGCACCCGGGACTCAAAGCCAGCGCCCAACCGAGGTCGGTTCTTATCGGAGGAAGCGAAAGCCTCTGAGTCTCGCAGAGACAGCTGGCCAAGAAGAGCCCCTCACGTTGGCTCAGACTGGCAAGAAAGGCGGGAGATGGGGCTAAGGTTTGAGAAAGATCTCCTGCCTTTGAGGAACTGCTGCCCAGCTGGCCCTTTGATTACTTCCGCTTTCTTATCCACCCGGCTTCTCCCAGCGCAAGCCGCCTACCCACTTCTCCCTCCCGCCATCTCTCGGTTTCTTTTTCTCCACTCTCTCTCCCCCAGCCTGAGGTTTTTCTGCATCATGCCCTGTCAATGAATTTTCCGCAAACTCCAGGTCAGCCCCAGGAACAAAGGGGTAACTCACCTAAAAGGAGATTCTGTCCCAAATCGAGCCGTCTCTCGCCTGCACTTGCAAATGCGGGGGAACCTTTCGTTTCCGCGGAGAATCCCCTGCTCTGGCGCAGCTCCCCGGAGAATGGTGCATTTGGTCAATGACAAGAGAGATCGTGAAGTCTGTCTACCCTCATTGGATACTCTCATTGTCTATTCTCTACTGCAGAAGCCGATTGGCCGCGCTCTTGCCCCCCCCTAGTAGAGCGCGGGAAAAGTTGAGTGCGGACCCGTCCCGCCCAATAGAGGAAGGAAAGGCCCGCGCTGCGGATGGCGGGAAGCCTGCAACTGTCCCTCCCTAAGCAGCATCGTGCCTTATTACTCCGCTGCTCACTGCCCTCAATGCCTGCTTCATGTCCCTTTGATCCCCTAGTCCCAAATTCGAGAAAGAGTCCCAGTGAGGGGTGGGTCGGAGTGGGCTGGGCTTGGGAGGTGCGAAAGGGGAGGCCAGGGAGCAGAAGGAGCGAGAACGGTGGAGGCGGGGCCACTGCGGAGGCTCCAGCCCCGCGCGCAGGGACCCGCTGCGGAAGTGGGTGGGAGGAGGGGACACGCGGCTTGCTCCAGCGCACAGGAGGCGCTTCGCGTGGGCGGGTGGGTAGGAGGGCTTGGGCGACTCGGGCTCTTCCCAGGGGGCGGCATTCCCAGCAGTTGAGACACTTCCAGGAGTATGACAATCAGGAACGGGCAGTGAATGCAGGAGGTGGGAGTGAACGACCTTGTCATATATCGAGCCTCCAAATGCCCAATATGTGCAGAAGTTTACGATCCGGACGAAGACGACGATATGGACTCCAGGAATGTGCACCTCAAAGCTGACAATGAAAGAACTCCATTGGAAAGGGCTTGCAACTGCAGCCAGCTGTTTAAGGATCTGCAGGAAGAGCAATGTGCAAGTATTTCATGCTGTGTTAGAGAAGTGATCAAGGTCACAACGGCGACAGCTCTTACGCAATTGACAAGAGGAATATGATGTACATAAAGCGATAGGGTTGCAAAGTGTGTTAGTAACTACAGTGCAGGTGGTAATTTTGGGGAGCTGGCCTTAATATGCATACAAAACACCCAAAGTGGCTAAAATTACTGCTGCTTCTTCTGTGGGTTCTCTGGGGTTTGGCTAGAGAACCCTTTAAAAAGTCAACAACAACAATAAAAAATTGTACGAAAGTTTCACCACTTATTTTCATTCTCTGAAAATCTGGAGAGGTTTCTACACCCCTCAGAGCAGTGCATGCAATAATCACCAAAGTATTAGGATTTGGCTGATTCTTTTTTTCATTGCGGATTCTGAAGCAGTAAA